CAGGGTAACATCCCTAGGAGAATCAACAGGCATAGGGTTCTTATCGCCTTCCAACACCAGTGGGGTGAGGCTTCAAGAACTAGAACATGGTGCACTGCCTTGCTGATCATTGGGTCTGGGCATACACCTCTTGTGCTTCATTGTTGGACCAGGGAGAGGGGTAGTAGATAAACTAGTGGGGCACTTAGAAGCCATAATGGGGATGGCAACTACAGAAACATGTCGCAGACATCAAGTGAGGAACAGAGATCCACACAGGAGCATATATTTTAGTGCATGTCACTCCCACAATGCACCGCACAAAGCTGACTGTGGGCTTCCACCACACCAATTGCATAACAGTGAATTTATCTTGCGTATAACGAATTTGTGGTATAAAAAGGACCATTGCATAAGAGCAAATTCGCACATACAAAACCTGTATAAATCAAGGGGAAACCTGTACTTTTTATGAAGTTTGAAGCAAAGTAGGTAGTCAGCAGCTCCACCCTGTTTGTGTCTTCCATTAAGAGCTTGTCTCCATTGATCTGCAGTTTCCCTGGTGTCTCTTCAATCTGACATATTTGTAGAAGTTTTTGTAACTCATGTTTTGGCTTTTCTTTCCTTATTTTTGTTGTTGTTGTCCTTTATAAGCTCATACTTCTCCTTTGATATATTTAGTTCATGCCCTTTCTTCTGTCTCCTTTGTCTGTATGGGTTTCTTCTTCTGCATGGGTTTCTATTGATTCTCAGATGAGTAAAAGCTCTCCTTCTGGCCATATCAATCTCTTCCAGTTCTTATCATCCCTCTGCATTGAAATAGCTTCATCTTTTGAGCCTCCACCTGCCAACTTCTCAGACTCGCTTTCCTTTGATTTTGTCCATTCATGCCAAGTTTCCTGTTATTTCTCAGAGTTGAAATACATTTTTCAAGTCCAGTATCTTTGCTTCAAGGCTTCCTTTCCTTAGAATCATGCGTTGCATCAAATCATGATCATGTAGCAACTTCTACAATTTAAATATATTTAAGATTTCTTTTTTCTCTGTCTAGCCTCCACGTATGTTGCTCTGGCTTTTTGTACTTGTATGTAGGAGATACTGACATGTATATTAGACTACTATTGATAGTCTAATATACATGCCTTTTGGGAGTTAAGCCAGGACGTAAGTTGGATTGGTAATGCAACATCAGTCTCTGCCGCAAGGGAAACGCATTAAGCTTGTTAATATGGTTTTCTGTGGGACATGTAGTAGAGGGAAGGGAGCATGGGATCAGGTATAGAATCCTGGTCTTTCATTCCTGTTTACCATGGATGCAATATGACCTTGGTTAAGTCGGGCCAGATCTCCAGGCATTGCATGCCGTTACGATGTAGACAGGAATCTAGTGAGACTTTCAAAAGTGCCTGAGCATCTGATTTTTCACTAAGTATCTTTAGATGCTTAAAATACTGTTTGCAGTTTTGCCCTTAACCCCTGCTTTAGTGTGGTTTTTCTTTTCTTTTCTTTTTTTTTTTTTGAAATCCATGTCATGGACAAAATGTATGAAAAAACAATAAAATCCAATGTGTTGGTCTTAAAGCTTCATTTCCCTTTCTCCACTTTCAAATGGATTTTTCTTCAGAATTTGTGTTCTAATTGTTTGGTCAGGGATGTAACCCCCCATGTTTGGTTACTTTATTTTTTTGCATACAACACACCTTTGCCCCCTGAGAATCAGCCACCTAAAATGGGGAGTGTTTGTTTTAAGGGGGGATGCAGTTTTCTTCACTGGAAAAAAGCAATCCTGGGGACACAGTATGCCAAATAGCTGCCGAGGAGGTAGAGTCCTGTGTTTAATTCTCTCACGGATGTAGCTGTTGACTGAGTACTGCAGATAGTGCCTGAAGCAGGAAGCAAGCTGCTGGTAGTATCTTTGAGGCTTTTGATGTGGAAACAGCACTTGATTTATAGGAATTTATATAAATAATTGTTTATAATGAAGAATTAACAGTCTCACCACTGCCCTTGTAATGGTCTAGGGCCTAACCTTGTGTGACATAAAGTAAGTCCTCCTGGAAACATAGTGCCTAAGAAGTGCGGCATCCCAGGAGACAGTCTGGGTGAGGCACCTGGCATTAGGAACTTCCTCATGCCACACCTTTTTGGACACAGTTTCCAGGAAGACTTACTCTATCATGCAGTTAGCCATGACTCTGAAAATTCCCTCTTCCTCCCACTGCATTTTTCCTTCCAAAAAGAGGGTGCATGTTTTATCTGCTGGTGTGTTTTATATGCAAGGAAATATGGTACCTTTATCTTCTCTGTCAGCCCCTGCACTGCTGATTATTCGTAACTTTTCCAGCTATAACATTAAACTGATGCATTTTAGCCAGTTTTTATAAGAAGGAACCTCCTGTATCAAATCCAATTAATGTGTTGTACCATATAACATATAAACTGAGCAAGTTGCACCCTAAAACTAGTTGGTTTTGTTGCACTTAATATTGCTGGAAAGCTGTGTTCTGGAACCTAGTTTGTCTAAAAATTAGAAATCTTCTGCTGATTTTCAAGTAATTTTTGTTACATGGTGGTAACAAGGTGCTTGGATTTAGGCCTGGAGCCCAGCTGCAGGAGAATAGGGGATGATAGCCAACCTGCTCAGGAACAACAGGCCAGTTGACAGAATTGGCTGGGCTCAGGGGAATTTAAAAGCTGCCTGGTAGGGAAGCTGAGGAAGAGCGAGTGGGCTGTGCTTAGGGAGAAGCACAAGGCCCGTGTCACTCCTCCAGGTCTGAAGAAAGACCAAAGGTTGGTTTGTTGGTTTGTTCTTTGCACCTGTTCTTGTTTTGCCTGCTGTGGTGAGAAGCCTTCTGCATGGATAAGAAGTGGACTGGAACTAAGAACTGAGTGGCTTTTATAAGGAAACTGCCTCCTGGGTCTGCTTAAGAGCATGTCAGCCTGCTACAGTGGTTATACAAACTTGTTCTTGGGCCAGTGTTACTCTTCTGCTTAACTTGCTCTTTTTCCTTCTGAGGGATTTTCCTCCTGATCTTGTTAATAGACGCCACTTGTATTTATTTGCCTTTCAGCTTTTGTTTTGCCAGGCTGCACACACCAAGCTCTTTTAGTCTCATACAGTAGGCTTTCCATGTCCATGATCATCCTTGTAGTCCCTCTCGACACTTGTCCTAGTTTGAGTCCATCTTTTTTTTGTACCGAAGTTAAGAGAACTATACTATGCGGAGTAGTTGGAACATGTCCATCTCAGAATCATCTTGCATTCAGGAGCTTCTCACCTGCAAGATTTTTGGTTCAAATTTGGCTCGAGTCAGTAAGGGCAAAATGTTTGCTTTTTTTTTTCAGTAAAGCGGAGATAACACTGTTACCGAATTGTCTTTATAAATTAATTTGGAGGATGGGGAACCATTGTTCATTGTCTGTTCAAGCATGAGTCATTTGACACGGTTCAGGAAGGGTGCAGACAAGTTCGAGAGAGTCCAGAGGAGGGTCACACGCATGATTAGAGGGCTGGAGAGAGGAGGAGAGGCCCAACGATTTGGGACGTTTCAGCCTAGAAAAGAGAAGACTCAGAGGTGACTTGATGACAGCCTATATTAGGGGCATACATCAGGGCCTGGGGGAGCATCTGTTCACCAAGGCATCCCAGGGGAAGATAAGAAACAATGGGCACAAACTGCTTGAAGATTGCTTCAAATTAGGCATAAGGAAAAACTTCTTTACAAGTCTGGAACAAAGCTTGTATCGCAGCAGCCCACACTAGCTTGTTTTGCAGATAAACCCTTCAGTTTACAGTTGTTAGCTTCCCCACAAACCTTTTAATCAGTAAGGAAAACTCGCACTGTACAGTATGTTTGCTACGTTGCATGAGTTCCCCACTTGGAGACTTAGTGCAGGAGTGGCCAACGCGCACAAGTGGCATGGGCAGCAGGTGGCAAATCAGGGAGGGAACAGACGGCACTGCAGCAGATAGGGCCAGAAGCAGAAAGTAGAAGAGCGGATTAGGCAGGGGAAGGGGATTGGAGTTGCATTTGGGGAGAGTATGGGGCTAATTTGTGGCTCACCTGCCAGAAAGGGTGGTCCTCACTGTCTTGGTGCATGCTAACATGTAATGCAGTGACTCTCAACCATTTTTTATCTTGACCTCCGCCCCCAACACAAACTCGCTCATGCCTGGCAGCACCAGCAGAGCCTGGGCTGGGCTGGCATCGCAGGGGGACAGCAGTGGCGAGAGCTTCATTGACCGTGCACTGGGAGAGCCCCGCAGGTGGAAGGGGCAAATTTCACACAACTGTGAATTAAGTTGTGACCCAAGGTTGAGCGCCAGTAATGTAATGAGTACTTTCTCTGTAAGGTGTATACTCTTCTTGGAGAGTTACAAGTTCCATATCAAAGTGGAGTAAGCTATGTCACACAGGCAGTCTTAGTGTACATTAAAGGAATCCATGTAGGGGGTGTCTGAAGAATAGTTTAACTGTAAACTCACACCTGTGCACAAATTTCCCCAAGTAGACAAGCCCTTACTCTTAAACCTTTCACCAGAACTGACTTCATTATGATAATATATTTAAAATATTTATTTTCTTGGTGTGTGTGGGGGTGTGTGTGTGTGTTGTTTTGTTTTTCCAGGAATGCTCCCATTTGACACTTTAAACATGCAAGTCACCCCTCCTTCCCTCCCCCTGTCTCAATACTTTGCAGCCAGGGGCTTTAGAAAAACCAAGGGGTATATTTTTAATTTTATAAAGTCTAGTGAGATTACATTTTGGTTTCACTTTGTAAAGTTGAAGACAGTCTCTGGACAGAAAAATGTGTGTCTTGACAGTGCAATGTAAGGAACATTTATTTTTAGTATGTACATGTGAATCATAAAAGAAAAAAAATCAAATTTATGTTCAGATAGTTATCAGTGCCTTAAGGTCAACAGGGTCACTTGATCTCTGATTTTCTGAAATTACTTATTGTACCACTGACTAAAATGTATCGTTGACACTTCTTGTATCAATATTTTTTGTCTTCAGACTACCTTGTTGCAGAAGCCGCTGTGGCAAAGAAATAAACATTTAATAAGGAGAGAATGGGTAAGTTCACTTTCTGATTTTTTTTTTTTTTTTTTTTTTCTTCACAGTTTAATAAATCATGAACCACCTATAAGTGTTTTAGAGTGATGATGGTCTTGAGTAGGAATAGTGTCTCAGTAGATTAAAAATGCTGATTAAGTTGCCTTTGGCCTGCTGCTTTAAAAGTGAATGGCATTTACACACCCACAGGGTTTTTAGTGTAGATGAGCGATAAAATTTTGCATATCGAACAATGTTATGTTGTTATAAACTGTGGCTTTTAATGCAGTGTTGTTAATTTGTAAGAGGAAATGTACCATATTTTACTCAATTCTAAGATAAGGTTGTTTCCCTCCATTTAACATAGTGGGGGCGGGGATGTGGCTGCTCTGGCTGTGGCTCTAGCCCCTAACTTGGGTCAGGGTCATAACCACACATACTGCCTGCCTGCCTGTCTTCCTTGCAACTCCCCAGCCGTCTCTGCATCCCAGTATTTCCCCCTTGCAGCTTGTTTTCCCTCCCCCTCCTTGCAGCCTCTGCTCCCCTGCCTGCCTCTTTTTCTCCCCACCTTACATTTTCTCCCTGTCACCAGGCTGTGTAGGTGCTGAAGCCTGGGGCAATGAACACAGCCCCAGCCCCGCCAGCACATAGCTCTCACAGCTGCTGCAAGAGCTGGGGCCACATGCTCATTGTCCTCAGCTGGACTGAGGGATGAAATCTGCTGCCATGGAGCAGAGGCTGGTGGGGTGAGGAGGAGAGCAATACCAACTGCCTCCCCACTGCCTGCCCCCTGCTGCTGTTGGAGGGATGAATTAAAGATAACCCTTTAATATAGTGGTTCCCAACCTTTTTTTTGCCGTGACTTTTTGCTGGGACCAGAGTGCAGTGGTGGTGGCAGCCTGAGGGTGGGGGAGCTCCTGGAACGTGGTGTGGTTCGTCCTTTGTGTCCTTTTGTCCATTGCCCCCGCGACCCTCATTTGGGTCGTGACCTGAGGTTGGGAACCGCAGCTTTAGTAATTGGATTCTACACCTGGAAAATAATAATACATTTATAAATATTCCATGTATAGAATCTAATTATTGGGGGGTCCTCTTAAATTTAGGGTAGTCTCAGATTCGAGTAATTCATAAGCCAAAGAAAGTAAAGCCACTTGAATTTCTTATGCGCATATCATGACTGGATCCAAACATGTAGGCACATGCGGTTTGTGGCGCTGCACACCTCCTTGTTGCACTATAAACCACACGAGTTGCACATTAATCAGTGCTCAGCACTGCTAATTTGCAGTGCCAGGACGAAACTTTTACTCAGATTTCCTGGTAACAAAAAACCCCCCAAAGAACAAAAACTAGAAAAAAACTGGTGCAAACCACTCCAAAGTGACAAGTGCTGGAACAAACGCAGAGCCCTGGGCTGCCTGCTCTCCCATTTCTGTGTGCTGTGGAGCCCCCATGTTGAGGCACCCTGTACCTCAGCCAGCTGCTCCCTGGTTGACCATGGCACAGGGTGCCTCAAGATGGGGAAGCAGGTAGCCCTGGGCTGGCTGGTTCCCCATCTCCATGTGCACTCCCTGGCTGGCTGGGATACAGTGCCTCAGTGCAAGGGATGGCTAGCGCCTGCTGAGGCATCCTGTGCCCCAGCCAGCGCAGTCCCTCCCCACCCTCCCAGCCCTTGCTGCATGTGGAGCAGCGGAACAATGTGTCCTGCTACAAAGCACACAGGCAGGGACATGCACTAAGGCACAAAGTAGCAGCACAACTTTGTACCTCTACTTATGTTGCTGTAAAGGCACGTACCTGCTCATGTGGACCTGACCTATTAATGCGATCTAGAGTTTCTATATACAATAGATGTACATCTGAATTTACATGGTACTGAAATTGTACATGACAAAGATAGCCTTCCTGCTTTTAAATTTAGCTTCATATGGGCCAGATTCTGCTCCATCTATTAAGTCCTCTGTGCAATATTCTGTCATCTTGCTAGAATCTCAGGCTCCTTACTATTGTAACATGCTGTCACTTTCAGTATTAATACTAACTCCTCAAATAAGTGGTGAGGAGGAGGACCCACCCACCTTTTTGTATTAACATTTTTTCAGGGGCTCAAACAGAGTGAAATAAGATTGTATTTGGGCACCTTAGTCCACTTAGATGCGAAATAAGTGAAATAGGATCTGGCCTATAAAGTTTTATAGTGGATAATAAAATCCAGTATATTAAGAGAGCTCATGCTGAGGGGAAACTGGCATGACACACAAGCAAAGGGAACAAAATGAAGGCAGCACGTGTGTTGGTTTAAGGGAGGCAAAATGCAGAGGCAGCTTGGAGGAATAAGCTACTTGGGATCAAAAAGAACTTGGAATGAATGAGCCAAGACGGAGGGGAGGAGATAAGATGTGGCAGCTGTTCAATTAAGTGAGGCAAATATACTGATCCAGAATTGGGATTTCTTCCTGCATAGTTCTGAGTTTGGCATGTGCTAAGGAGGGATTGATTCTGGTTTGGCCCTATTTTATCTCCTCTTGTGCAAGTTCTGTCAAAAGTCCAAAAGAAACTGAAATTTTGCTTACTATTACAAGTAAAACTTCCCCAAAATGACTTCAGCTGATGGTATCTGTTTAATTAACCTACTAATGCCAGTTAAGTGTCTTTTCTGAGGATTACTGTTTTAAACTTAACAGTAAAATATATCATTCTTCATTTGGCAAATTCTTAACTACATTTTAATTTATTAGCATTAGAAATGTGACTGAGGAATATAGGAAGCTAAGCTTGAATTAATATTTTTATAACTTTTTCTAACACTTATTGGTGACAAGGAAAAGTGAAAAGATGGGTTGCTATCTATTAAAAGTTTAGCTCTATGAGATTGAAAGCTGAAGAGTTCAGGATACTTAAACTCCTACAAATGAAACTTCACCTTTATTTTAATGGTGTTTAAAGATTATTCCTCCTTTCCACTCTTAGCACCTTAGGAAGATCTTGCTTTTCTCTGTTCAGTTGTAAAAGGGGCTTGTGACTTCACACTGTGAGGAGAGGCACAGAGTGAAGTGTTCCTCAGTGTTCCAGTAATATGAATCATGCATTATGCTCTACTAATCTTTTCCTTTTTCTAATAGATGGAGAAGAGAAAACATATGGTGGGTGTGAGGGCCCTGATGCCATGTATGTGAAGTTGATATCCTCTGATGGTCATGAGTTCATTGTAAAAAGAGAGCATGCATTAACATCAGGAACAATAAAAGCAATGTTGAGTGGCCCAGGTAAGTGTGATACATTTTATATCTGCTTATCATTCAGTTTCCTATATTTGAGTGTTTACATGTGTATTATGTACCGTACAAAAGTTTACCGAATAGTAACTTCTAGTCCGGACTTTTCTGTCAGATAGGGACTATGTCTTAAAATCTTCCAGCAACCCATAGGCAAAATAAACAGCAACAATCTGCAGGTTAGTATTTTCTTGGATATCCTGCTATGGGTAAATTTGAGAACCTGGAGTATGTACCAGGTGCATCCCACTCAAACACTGAGCTGTGAAGAAGGAAGGATAAGTTAGACTGCATCTTGACTTACCCCATGGCTACTGCAGTATGAAGCAAGACAAGTCCACCCTTCTGATCCCAGCGTCGCTTTTTTTTCAGACCGCTAAAATGACTGCAAAGCACCTTCTTATATAAAAAAAATCATCAGGGTGAAAGTTTAACAAGTACACGGTTCTAGCTGTTGGACCTCAAATTCACTTGGTGATCTTTGAGATGTTAAGATTTCACAGGAGCAAAAAAGGATATTGCTTATATTACAAAGTAATATAGAAGCCTAGTGGTATTATTAACTTCAGCTTTCCCATGACATTGGTATTACTAACTTTGGCTTCCCCATTACATTGGATCATGATGTTGAATGTAGGGTTGACATTTTGCTGTATGGCTAAGGGGATATCAAGTCAAAATGAATTTGTATTAAAACTGGAGAAGAATCAAAAACTGATCTGTGAATGAAATTTGATAAAATTTTAGGGAGAAAAGGGAATTCAGCTATTTTTTTTTCTTGTGAATTATTTTTGGAGCATCTTCAAAATTCTCAGTACTTTCCCTCTATTACTTTTGCCATCAAAGAAATAATCTGTAGTTACAAAAGAGCCTCAGTAATACAACTAGCATATCTGGGCCCTTCCTAGTTGAAGGTGCTCCAAAAATCAATCACAGAAAAAGAAAAGAAAGTACTGGGTATGCCCATGTTTGTTGCAGCCAGCAAATGGAATTCAAGATAAGTCGGTTTCTAACACTTTTGAATTCTCCAATCTATCTAATTGATAAATAACAATATACTTTTGAATGTCCCCCAAATTTTATATTCTGTGGAACATATTGAACAGGAGCATGACCCTGATGTGGTAAAAATTTCATTGCTATTCGGAAGAAGAAAACCTCTCAGTTGGTTTGGTCAAATATGTCACAAAAATCACTTGCATCTACAGTGCCCTTAAATAAAAATCTAAACTTAGACTTGAAAAAATCCACAGATATATCCATTAAACTTATTTACTTTAAATCTCTCTACTTCACTAATTTGTCCTTATTGTTAAAACTTCCTAGTTAGGCTACGTGACTTAACATTACTTTAAATCTGCACTGTTTCTCACTTCCTCCCATGCTGTAAATTCAAGCTGGACTGTCCTAAGGGTGTTTACACAGATGTAGCTGTCCAGACATTAATAAACAACTTGGTTTCAAAGCTGTAATGGCTCTGCAGGCATAACAGAAACTCTGTAGTGGGTAGGTGATGGGCAAACACCTGGGTTAGACTTGGTTCCTTATTTAATGAACGTGTCCACTGTACACTAAATATATCCAGCAGCATAGGACTTCCCTCACCATTGCAGCTAGGTTTGCTTACATTCGATAAAATACGCTTTCATTTTTGAAACATTGTGGTGCCAACTTTTTTTCCCTTTTTTTCTTTATTTTATAGGACAGTTTGCAGAAAACGAAACAAATGAGGTGAATTTTAGAGAGATTCCATCCCATGTCTTATCCAAAGTATGCATGTATTTCACCTACAAGGTTCGCTACACTAACAGTTCGACGGAGATTCCTGAATTCCCAATTGCACCTGAAATTGCACTGGAACTTCTGATGGCTGCAAACTTCTTAGATTGTTAAATAAAATAAATTATAATAAAAATGTAAAACTTTTTTCAGTATTTAATACCCGTAGTTCAGTTAGTACCTTTTTCAGATAGCATGTTGCGTGTGTGAGATTGAGAACTGTAAAGTTCACTGCAGAGGCAGTTGCCTTCAGTCTTCTTGCATAGCAGTCATTCAAGTTGAAATTTGTTTTGCTGCTTACACAAATACAGGCCTTTTCCCAAACCAAGACAAATAAAACAAATGTACCAGTTAGTAGATGGCTATGCCTTATCCTTTAGGTGTGGTAGAATTTTCTTTTAATGCAATTATAAAATACATAGGCCAGTGCTTTGTAAAAGCTAATTCTAGCCTCATGTGTAGATGTTTAGGGTTTTTAACCATTGAAATTTCTAAACATCTAAACTTGATCTCCTTACAGAGTAGTTGTCCTTTAGGATAGTTAAAACTGAAGTACATTAGCATTTGCATCTTAAATACCCACTTTCAAGGATTTGTAAACTGGCAAAAACATTCACTTTAGACTGAAAACTGACTACGTAGGGGAATTTTTTATGCTTTATTTTAACTTGGCTATGTTTTGGAAATGCAAAGAATATGATTCAGTTTTCTCATGTAACTTAATTCACCCTTTCCCTTCTATCCATTTAATGTTCAGGTCACAGTAGCTTTTAGAGAAAAAATATAAATAACCAAGTTAGTTCTTAATGCAAACTCTCAATTTTGTGTGTATACTATTTTCTGTATAACATGTAAGGTTATTCATAATGTACTCTCACTTGACCTGATATTAGTTTTATATAATAGCTGACTATAGCTTTTTCCCATTGTTTGTGATAAGTCATGTAAACTCTGTATTTACTCTTGGTTTTATAGCCTTTAAACCATCCTAAAGGTGGCTGCCACAGAGGTAGTTCTCTTCCTTATCCTTTCCCCCTCCCATGCTTTCCCCTTACTTTCATAAGAAAAACTGAAAATTTGGAGAGACTTTTATTAGGAGAAAAGGGGCATTAAGTTATGTGTCTGACCTTTTTTTGTTTCCTTTAAGATTTCCTAAATATCCAATATTTCCACGAATATGTTGAGCAAAAAGGATTGACAAGCTAGTTATATGAATGCTCAGTGGAACATATAATCATCCCTTGGTTTCTGTTGATAATTGCCTGTTGCATCCACTTTTCTCTCAGACCAAGTTTCCATAAGACAAACGCAGTGAACAGTATTACTATGAGTGACAGCCTGGAGACTTCTACTACAAAACCCTCTGTAGATGAGTGATATATGTAATTGGTAATGAGAGATGACAAAAGAGCCATCTATATCAGTTGTCATTGCTTCAGTTCTGAGAGAGAGGTGGCTCTGGTCTGTTGTGGAAATACCACAAATAGATGATGGGTTCTCTTATTAGTGTATTAACCAACTAATGGTGGCCTTAAGGGATCATGAAATCTTGTCATACCTGGTTGGCAAATAGGTTTATAATTTTTTTTTCTGGATTAAAACTTGATGTGTACTATGCAGTTTGCTGCACACAAAGGAGTTTGACCTAAGTAGGTAGTAAATTGACCTAAGTATGAAATCAAATTTTTTTTCTGGGCTTAAATAAAATGGACTCAATGGACAAGATGACGTATGTCAGTATGGTGGTAGATTAGCTGACATTTACTCACATTTTTGGGCTCAGTTACCTACACAAGTTGGAGATGTTGAAGTGTGTTGGAAGACATTGTATGAAAGATTGTATTTTATTTTCCCAGCTCTGCTCAGTGCTATTAGTAGCTCATTTTCCAGAGCACTAAAACAAAAAACCTATTATGCTGCTTTTATTCAAGCCAGTAGAAAAATAACTCCAAAGATTCCAGTGATTTGTGATTTGGATATTTAGTGATTGTACCCTCATTTCATTTTGAGGGGTCTTGAGTTGTTAAAGATAGAAAACTTAATTTGAGTAGCTTCAGGTTTAAAATGTTTTGAATTCAAGTGTAAGCTAAGATTATTTTGACTTCATCAGGGGAAAAATTAATAAACTTTTTTTTTTTTAAAGATGCCATTACAATAATTTGTGTTCTGTGACTGTACTTCAGTATAGTGTGATAAAATGGCTGTTGTATTCCTGGATAACTATTCCATGTTCTGGATGTTGTAAGAGACACTAAACTGAAACTGAAGTGTCTTTGAACATTGACAAAACGGGATGGTGTCCTGGAATGCATTGCTTAAAACCCACCTCATTAAGAAGCTGTTACAAATGTGGGGGAGGGGGGAAACCTAGTGCAACTTAATTCACAAAGAAATGGGTATGCTCTTAATACACAATTGGAAAGCTACCACACTTACTTCCTGAGTTCTAAATAAATTTCAGAATGGAAAATTTCTAAAATTTGGTGTGTTTTGTTGGTTTGTGACTACTAACTTTGGAGCAGTTGTTCATACGTGAAATCAGTTTTCATAACTATACAGTACACAAATTGTAAATATAAAATAGATACCTTGGTTGCAGGTGGGCGGAACATGCCAATCTTTCCTTCCCCTGATATTAAACACTTATTCTCATAACATAAGTACCCAACTAATAAGACTAATTTTTGTGACATTTCTAACCTTACTGGAAATTTTTAATTGAAGCCTCTTAACATTCAATTCGCTTTTTTCCCTTATGCTAGCCAACTTTGTAGATTGCTTTTATGCGTGTTTCTAACTGTACCGTAAGTAGAAGCATACGTTTTGATGTTTAGCCTGGTCTAAATTTATGAATGGGAAACTTGGGTTTTTTTGATTGTAACACAGGGTTAACTTGTACACTTAAATATGTATCTATAATCGATCATATCAAACATAAAACAGCCTAGTACAGAAAGAGATGTGTCCCTAAGCCATCGAAATTCCATTCAGCGTGTTGAAGTTCTTATTTGGTTTTGAGATTTAAATCTGGTTCAAAAAGGGCATATACTTACAAGGCTTCATTACAAGCCAATATTCTCAGACTCATAAATGCTGAAGTTGAATACAGCCAAAGTTCGAAGCGTTAATTGTCTAGTGACAATATGGTGTTTTTGTATAATAGTATGTGTGTTTATTTCTTGCAAAATTGTTAATGGGTACTGACTGCTCCCTGTTTCTTCCTTATGTTATTTGTAGTACCCATTAAGCTTAAAAAATGGTTTCCTCCCCCTTCCCAGCCCCTAAATAATTTGCTATGGCAGAGCAAAGCACAACAGTGTTGTGGGTCTTACAGAGATATTGATTCTAGGTCTGTGGCATATTTTAAATCAACAACTGAAGGAAGAAATATCCTAGCAACTTTTTGTGTTAAAGTGAATCAGATCTGGGGCATAAATTAGTTGCCTATGTAGTCTTACAACAGGTGGACCAAAGTTTTGCTGTTGGCAAACCTGCCATTCAACAGTTTTTTTTTCCCCATGGGAAAAAAAGAGTTCAGCTTTTAGGAATTCTGTGAAAAATGGAACAACTATTGGAACTGGTTTTCTTTTTAAAAGAGCTACAGTGGTGATATGAAGAGCAAATACAAGTGCTGTGAAATTGGTGTTGCACATGAATGAAATATATGCATCCTAGAAGAGTAAAAAGTACTGGACGTTCTGATTCACTTGGGAGAAGAGTTTGCATGAGTGACCTAATTAGGGCAGCCAAAAAAGGAAAATACAACACAAGGATTTTTATATCTATTCAATAAAAATCTTTTAAGTATTCTTCTAATGGGTCTAATTGTGTGGCATGAACTAAAACTTTGTAGTTCCTTAAATATGAAAATGTAGACAAGCAGTGAAGATTATATCATAGGTGAAAAATATTAGTTTTGGGAGGAAATGTGCAACTTGGCTGCATTAATTTAGTAATTCCTTTGATCATTTCTGCGAAGGGAATTCTGTTTGGATATAATGCAGTTAACTGTAGAAAAAGCTAAAATCACATTTACCTTTCAGGCAAGAATGGAATATTTCAACTTAAAAAAAAAAAATCAACTTGTTTGATGGGAAGGTCTGAGGGCAAAGCCATAACACACATTTTTGTAGCCTCATATGAGTGAGAGCCTGGGAATTAAAATTACTTTACCAAGTATGACTAATGCATCTTTTGTTTCTTGAAAGTACCAATTTGAATTCTTAACTTTGTAAGTTTAGTAATAAAATGTAATTTTAAAAATATCAAAATAAAATATGGTGTTTATGATAGTGCTGGCAAAGCTGGAATAATGTTAACATGCTGTCAAGTAGAAAATTAACATCTTGATGCAGTGGTAATTTTTTTCCCCTAAATAGCACTATTTTGAAGCTAATAGGGATCTACAGATGTTTAAGGTAGGTCTTCATCCATCTGGAGCTCGGCTTCTTACCAACCTTTAAGTTTATGAGATTTTTGTTTAGTGATAACTCAACCAGAAGCTAATTTGAAGTTAAAAATTTTAAATTATTACTCTGAATATCCTTTTCAATTCAAATTTCAAATGGCCTTTTCAAATAATTGGTAGGAACACTTTTCCCCTTCTGCACAGGTAGTATCACCAACTTCATGCATCTTTAATTGAATGCTTAATCGCCACTATGTGGAGCTACAGGTAATAAGTTACTAATCTTAGTTTGCTATATAAATTCTGTTACTCTAACCAGATGTTAAAACAATAGTGACGACTTTAGCTATCAACTTAGTAAGTATAAATATGTTGTCAGAAAAGCTCTGGGTTTTTTTTATCTACCACAAAGCAAGTTTTCTCTGAAGATTTCTGCCTGCTTTGTCATGTATGCTTTCAGCTGCTTCTTACTTCATAAAACAATTTCCTGTAGAAATACTAGATTGAACTAGTTTTTTAAAATTTTCCAACCATGACACGTCATCACTTGAGTCTAGAAATAATCTTCAAAGTCAAGTGAAACTTGAAATATTTAATACAACATCTTTTATATTTTAAGTCAGTTTTGGACTTTAACCATGCAGTCTTTGAGAAGTACTTAGATTAGAAATAGTCATGAGATTATCAAATGAAACTAGCAGTACTTTCTATAGAATTTACAAGTTTAAGCTCTGTGTAACCTTGTAGGTTATTTTTCAATGGAAGAACCTGGAAAAAACCACCCACCCACCCACACCCCCCCCTCAATCTACTCATACATTTTTTCATTTGCTATAGCTTTTATACATTTGATTATGTTAATATTAAAATAAATCTTCACAAAATTTACAAAGCAGAGAGGAACCTGTACCTCTGCTGCCTAACTACCACAAGTTTTTTTTTAAAGAAAATCTTAGCAGAAGTTTGGCATATCACACCAGTAATTATGCACCTGTCATAGTTCAGCTTGATGTTACGGTAACACTATATATTTTTCAAATATTGCATCAAGTGATAAGATAATGTAACTTCTAAAAGTACCATAACCAAAGTGTAAATTTAGGAATATTTCTCATTAGCTGTCTCTTATTCTGTTGCCGTAATTTAATTCTACTTCTCTTACTCCTTTATAGAGAACAAAGGAGTAGGTTTAGGGAATATTTTATATAGATGAATTTAGTTTGTATTCCTTTTAGAGACCTTCCCCCTGCTTTCAGGAATATTCTTAATGCCTGTGTCAGTGTCCTTCTTTTAAATTGGCAAACAGTGGTGGAGAGAAGAATTAGCACAATTCCTTTGTGAGTTATGCAGTCCTCACTTGTGAGACATGGTCACCTGGCACTGCAGATTATGGTTGCTATGCCACTAGACTAACAAAGGGAGATTAATGTGAATATACAATTAACTTCTCTGGGAGGAGTAGATAAGCAGTAAAACTAGATGCCTGTAAAGGACCTGGAAAAGAAGACGACAAGGTTCAATGTTGTTACAGTAGCATAAATGGCAAAGAGTCAGGCAGAAAGATACAGTTTGGGATATGGAAGAATGATGTAAGATATCTGGAATAGGTGGTTAAAACATTAATTTTACAATGTCCAAAAACACTGGAGGAAAGTAGGGGGAAAGCAAAGTGAAAATTAAATGTGTTAAGAGAGCTAGAGCCATCCATCCTGCCAAAGATTCTTAAGATTGTCTACATTTTCTGCCTAATGTTAAATGAATACTACGCTATATATTGGAAACTAATGCTTGAAAACCATGTTTATAATAATTTTATTTTTAAATAAACTCTTGCAACTTGCTACATTCACCAGAACAAGTTCCACAATTGTATATAGTGGGCACTTCAGACTTAACATGGCTGTAACTAGGACTAGAATAAACAGCAGAAAACAGTTGCATGCAAATTGTCACTTAGATTCAAGATCTGGCATTTTTTGTAATCTCTTTTGGTTTTGTTTTCTGTAAACACAAAAGTTTTAATGGAAATGATCAAGAGCAGTGAAGTATCAGACTAACTGTTTGAATATTTACCAAAAGAATCAAACAATATATTTAGTTACAATCCACAAAGTATGCAGAATGCTTTTTATCCCTCATTGGTTATTCTTAGCGCCCCTGCACCTGCAACTCCTATTTTCACCATCACTTTGTACCAACTCACAGGACACTGGAGATGCTCTACAGGTACTGAGCCCTTGTGGTTCCTCCCTTGGCATACTTCCACTGTGCTCTTCTGCATCAGACTAAAATCAGTAGAGTTGTCCCTTTTTTGAGAGCTGATTGACTCTAACTTACCACAGCTATTGTTAATTCAAATCATAAAGGTGTTCCCTTTTGCAGGGTGGGTATGTATTAGAGAAGGGAGGGTTATATTGGCACTTACTACAGTTAAAGACCTTCCTTTCTATTATCTGTCATACAAAGGAAAATCTGATTTGCACACTGAGGCGTAGCAGCCTTGCACACACTTCTTATCATTTGACCTTGAGCTAGGTTTTCTGGAACACAGGATTAAAAAGTTGATTATAATGGATTCAAATAACTTTTGACTGTCATTACATTCTTGTTGGCTAATCATCAGTATGTTTATAATTAAGCACATGTCCGTTGCCTAAACTTTAGTGTTCTTGATATGTGTGGCATTTTGCATCAAGGAATACCTTTTTAGAATAGTGTGTTAAATGAATTAAGCTATTGGAACAGTAACAACAATTTGCATTTAATATTTTAATTACACAATTTAGTTCAAAAGTAGTACAGCAAACTGAATTCTGTCAATTCTACCTGGAGGTGTTTATATCAATCACTTCAATGTAACACAAATGTCATCTGGAATTATGATCTTGTCAAATTTTCTCTCACAAACCTCAGTGGAATCTGCCAGCATGTAGATAAAAGACCTTCAGGTAAAATGTAGGTAGCCAGAGCCTCAGCTTCTATGCATCCGTCTGACTCCAACAGCAGCCTCAGAGCAACACACGTTTGCACTAGCTGTGTATGTGACTTGTGCTTTTGGAAGCATTAGAGTTTTATCATCAGGGTTGGTGGGGCATTACCATGAGCTGGATCATGCTGTGTTTAGAAGGAGATGATACACAGGAGTTAAAAGAAACTGAGCTAGAAATTGAAAGAACTGAGGGGCATCTTTATATTTCCTTTAGTGTAAAGATGTTTCTAGATATCTTCAAGGCCCCCATCCCCCCACGCCTTTTTAGTCTCGCTTTTAGTAGGTTATTGGTTCCTTCCACAGTCAAGTTTAAATATACTTACTATTTCCCTGCTGCCTGTAAACGTGTAAAATCAGTGAAAGTTGTCCCTTTTGAGACAGTATGTGTGCTAAGTTATAGTGAATCAGTTGTCTTAGTTCAAATCACAAAGGTGTTCCCTTTCATGCCCCTGCCCCTGTTTTCCCTGTTTTCAAAACCTGGGAAACTAATAATATCCTTGTAATGTACTTGCTTAATGTCCAGTACTCAAGAATGAGAACATCAGTGCAGAAACCATTTTAAGGTATCCAGGTTGTAGCTGTATTGGTCAAGAGGCAACAGGAATCAACTTATGGTAGAGGTGACATAGTTTTTCTTGCAAAAATCTAGTTTATTAGAATAACTATTTAATTGCAAGCTTTTGGGCACAAGCACACCTCTTTAGGCACAGGAGAAAAGATTGTAAAAGTTCTTCCAGGTAGAAATGAAAGTTCGTATTTCATAGGAGAGTGCTAAAATCTTATGTTTGGCACAGTTCATTTTATGCAGGTGAGGCATAACCATTTTAATTCATTAATTAACAGCACAAAAACCTCCCAGGATTGTGCTACTGCTTTAGAAGGGGCATAGACTGGGTTTCACTCCTCTACCATGGCTGTGCAGTAAGGTGAGGTATGCTAGTGTGAAGTTGGGTACAACACAGAGCAGGGCACCCCTTTCAGACCCAGCAGGTGTTGCATGTATCACGGCATTGACTTGTGACTTGTGCAATGAATGTCCTGTGCCACCCATCCAGCTAATTTCCTGTGAGATATACATTGGGGAGCCAGCTACAAAGATGATCTCGATTTAATGAAGAGCCAATGAAGTAGCCAGTTACCTCTGAAAACTTATGCCTCCCCAGACCCACCCAGTCTCTAACCTGGCAGATGTTACTTTAATTATGCAAGGGGGACCCAGAGGCTTATTGCAGACTAAGACTAGCCGCACATTAGAGGCCTCTGTAGCAGGATGCATGGCCCCTGGGATCACCGCTCAACTCCCTTCACCTGTTCGCTGCAGCCTGGATCCAGAGGAGAACAGCCCACGCCATGCAGCCCACGCAACGAAGCAAACCCCCTTGCACAAGCCATGAAGAAGGCGCAGCTGTCGAGAGAGGGCCCCCCTGCACCTGCCCTCCTCCCTCCAGGGCTTGGGCTGACGCGCTCCTTATACACTGCGCAATACGGTAGGGCGAGGTCTGGCTCCTCGGAAGACAGGGCCCGGTGCAGCTCAAGGCACGCGGGGCTCTGCTCGCCACAGCGCATGCGCGGTGCCCGGGCTGCGGCCCACGTGACCCGGCAGCGCTGCGTCTGTAGCGGTCGGGCCGGCTGCGCAGAGGGGAGGGGGCGGATCCAATATGGCGTCCATGC